TGGAGTCATGCATTCTTTTTGCATCAGAGCTTGGTGTTTTATAGTCACCATGCAGCAAGGGGAATGTAGACCAAGCTGAATTCTGGTGCTGAGGTGCTGTTCTCAATTTTGCTATGTCCCTGCTTTATGTCCCTTTGTTGTAGGTGGAACTGCCCCCCCTGTGGCCCCTGTTCATAGAACCAGAGTTAGCATGTATATAAATGTACATGTCTATGTATATTTATGTGTGTATTTAGCAAATGGAAACTAGTTCAGCGGTTGGTAGTGATCTACTCCATAGCAACCATGTTACATTACTAATGCCATCAGATTTATTACATCTCCAAATTGGACTGCAAATAATCCAAAAGTTACCCAGGTCTCAGTGAGAGGAGAAAGACAAGTGACCAAGAAAAACAATAACCATCAGTTACATCTCAGATACGGCTGATTGGGAAGCTTTTCTGGTTAGATCCCAGCTCCAGTCTATGAGTATCCTTGTAAAATGTTCCATTTGCTGCAAGTGACCCAGAAGGCTTGCTGCCCAGTGAAGCAGGCAAAATTATATTACAGCAGAAACACACCCTCTTGGTCATTTCTTTCTATTTTTAAAAATTTTATTTGCATTTATTTTATGCTTCATTTATTCTTGTGCCATAAGTTTTTGTTTCTTCAGCTTCTGCTGAAATATCTTCTTCTGTGCAACTTCCTCCTGTGGTTTGGGAACAATATATTCCTTTTCAGTAAGGATCATCTCAATGTGACAGGAAGAGCTCATGTATGGGTTAATCCGGCCATGAGCTCTATAAGTACGGCAGCACATCTTGGGTGCTTTGTTCACCTGGATATGTTCAATAACCAGAGAATCTACATCTAAACCCGTAAGCTCAGCATTACTCTCTGCATGTTTAAGCATGTGCAGCAGAAATTCAGCACTTTTTTTTTGGCCACTCACCTGAATCCAGCCCCACTGTTTGGCCTGGGCACACCTACCAACTCCACCATTGTAACCTGGAATGGTTCACATTGCTTCTTTAAAGTGACACCCTTCAGATACTTGGTGGCCTTTCAGATATGCATACCCTTGATGGTCTGGGAAGTTTCACATAATGTTATGGTTTATATCTAGTTGTCCTCCTAAAGCCTCATATAAATTATGGGGCAGAGGCTGGAGGAGCAATGAGTGGCTTGAGGGACAGGGCCCGAGGGGTGGGGCCAGAAAGACAAAAACCCTTAAACTGGCTAGCCTGTGCTTTCTCAGAGGTGTGGAGAGGGTTATCCTGGACACAGCAGCAGCACAGCTTCTCCCTCAGTGTCTTGAAGCCTTCAGTAACTATGAGCCAAATAAACCTTTCCTTCATTCATTTTGAGTGTTGGGTATTTGTCCCAGCAACAAATGAAGAATAACTAAGACAGAATTTGGTACTGGAGGAGTGGGGTCATTGCTGTGGCTATGCCTGACAATGTGGATTACAAACTTTTGGGAATGGCTTATGGGAAGAGATAGGAAAGGTTCAGAGATGTTGCGGACAAGAGAAGTGCCAGAACAACTTTGGCTGTTCTGTAGGGGAGGCTCTGGTCAGAGCTCAGACCAGAAGACTAATAGAAAGCTGACCCATAAAGACCAGGCTGGGGAGGTTTCTGCTGAGAAGAAGGACTACATTGGTTGTTGGACTCCAGATCATTTCTGTTTTGGCTTGGCAGAACATTTGTCTGTGTGCTGGTCATTCTGGTCTTCTGAATATGGGCTGCTTGTCCTGACATGCCAGTTGCTGCTGTGCAGTTTCTTGGGTAGATGATTGTTCAAAAAGAAGAGGGTGGTGAATGAAGGCAAGAGACAGGGAAAGGAATGTTGTGAGACTCTCCTGCTTCAAGGTTGTATATGGTTAGATTTTTGGACTTATGTGTAAACATAAGAATTATATAATTTGTTATGCCTATTTTAAAAATATATTTTAAATTTTAAATGTTTTTTCATTGTATTCTTTAGGGACTTAAAATTCAACATATCAATACTTGATGAAAAATACCTGTTCCATGTTATGCCTAAGATGTTTGATATTCAGACAAATAGTGAGGTTAAGCTTAACAGTCTGTGTTGTATGGTAATAACAATAAGCTTGTCTTTTGGAGGGTTAACAACCTAAGTTTGCAGACCAAAACTAGAGAAAAAGGAGGACTGCAAGGAAAGGCAACATTTTGGCCCTAGCCTTCCAAGGTCAACTAAGACTCAGGACATATGAGAACTTGTACTATAACGTCATGTAACTCAGTAGTGTCCCAAATTTTCTGATCAAGGAGATTATGGGGCCAAAGAGGAAAGTGATCGATGATGTAGAATGTG